TAGCATTTCATAATTAGCCTTATTCCTTATATCAGCTAAGAAATGTCGGTGTCAATAATTGACTCAACATGCCAACTTGACCAGAACTCTACTAAGAAAAATTTAAGTTTGTGTTGACCAAGTAATTTTCAGGTCGGGTTTGAGTTAGAAATTATAACCCATTAACTCTTTCTAGTCAGATTCAGGTTGACCCACCAAAAAAAAAAATTGACCAGAAAAAACCCACTAACCCAAAATTGACACTCGCTAAGATCTAAATTGACCTAAAATCGACCCGGATAGGTGTCGTTGTGTCTTATATTAAATGAGTTATATAGGCCAGGTTCATGTCAATAGGTTGAAGGCAAGTCAAGTTTGAGTTGGACTTTCTAATTCATTTAATATTCAAATCAGGTTCAGATCAAACCCGAATCCAACCCACAAACCTGTTTTGACACCGCTAGCGTCACCAAAAAATTAATCAAATCCATATAAATTCTCATTCAATTTTCAAATCTCAAACCACCAGAATATTTAGAACAAAACATTCACTTCACATGGCAATTCATCATTTTCACTATTAAGCTAATGTTTCCTAAAAAATTCAAGTAAAATAAAGAAAACAAATAAAATGAAGCAAAAACAGACACCAAAATGAGCAAACAAATAGCCTTAGAGCCACCAATGAAGTTTCAGAAAATGAAAAAGGTAGAGGATAAAGGAACTTACATGATCCAAGAGTAATACATCATCTTCCCCCTCTAAGCGTGAAAAATCTATGGCTCGCTGACCTGTGACAAGTTCAAGCAGCATGATCCCATAACCAAAAACATCAGTCCTCTCTGATGATTTCCCTGTGGACAGATATTCAGGAGCTATGTGGCCCATAGTCCCTCGAACCTGAGTTGTCACAGAAGTCTTCCTCACATCCACCAGTTTGGCTAAACCGAAGTCCCCAACAACAGCTTCAAAATCTTCATCAAGTAACACATTAGCAGCTTTTACATCACGATGAATAATCTTGGGATTGCAGTGCTCATGAAGGTACTCCAGTCCACGAGCGGTGCCTAAGGCCACTCGTTTTCTAGTATTCCAGTCTATTACTGGCTCTCCGGGTTTAAAATCTGCACTAACATGGGAAAAAAAGAGGAATATCTATATGGCCTGATACAAAAATATGCATAAAGCAATTGAAAATACATATAATTTTAAAAAAAAAAAAAAATTCACAAAGCCATGTTTCAATTCAGACAGACAACAGTATCCGCATCATTATGAAGAGACGAAAATATGATTAGTGTTAACTACTTAATTTTCCACCAATAAGAGTAAGGACAATCTAAGATGAAGAGGGTGCAGAGGTTTTTGACACAAAGATAACTACTTCAGATGTCCCATCCCTTGCATCATATGCAATGTACCAATTAAAGAAAGGGTGGTAGAGCTACTTGTTCATGCAAGAACATTTAGAAAGAAAAATAAAAGGAGTGACAGATATCAAGTTTCAAAAATATAATGTTCCACATTTTACTTCAAATAAGATTTTGATACGATCCGACCTCAAAATCGACTCCAATTTTTACAGAAGTTAGGGCAAACACAACCATTTTCTTCAATAATCTAAACAACACACACAAATACAAAAAATAAACACCTACAATTTGAGGGGTAGGAAATCACTCCTAAGACCTAAACCAAAGACCACAACTCATTATCATGCATAAAGCTAACCCTAAACATAACAGGACTATTAATACCGAACAATAGTAATAATAAACGACTAAATTGCCCTTAATCGTACAAAAGACAAATTTGCTCTTAATCTAAGCACCCTCGTAACAATACTCACCGCCCCAACACCCAAAAAGGCACCTTGTCCTCAAGGTGGGAAAAATATGAGAGTGCTCCTCCCCCACATCCATCTCTATTTCTTCATTCTCTTCTTCCTCATTCTGCACTATAAACTTGTATCAATCAATCCTTGCAAATGGTGTCATGGGATAAACTTCTCATTACACCCAAAAAACATCCCCTTGGCTCACTTATCCTGAATCTTTGTCTCTGTAAGATGCTTGAATGTTGCTACCAGTCAGGTTCCATTATTCGTGTCCGGTGCAGCCTCCCTCTCGACTTACACTGTCTGAACTTTTGGCATCGCCGTGGTTGCAGTAGTTCCGTACGACACTCCAACTTTGTTGTTCCTATTGGCTTTCATCATCTGGTTCTTGTCCTCCAACAGCTAGGCTAGCTCCATCATCTCCCTTAATCCCTGCAATCTTAGTAGTCGGAGTATTGCAAGTATATCGGGCTAAACCCTTCATGAAATTTCCCTCCATTCCTACTTCAAAAATCCCCCACTGTCGTCCCAACAATAGTTTAAATCTCTTCCTGAATTCCATGATCATCCCCTCCTGAGTCAAAGCATAGAATTGCTCGTGTAGGTCTCCTTCTCGAATGGCTCAGAAACGTTCCAACAAACAATCATTAAATTCATCCAACAAACGAATCGGGAATCTAGCCTCCTTCCACTGAAACCAGGCTAAGGTCTTCCCCTCCAAACACAATCTTGCCACCATGAGTTTCTCCTACCCATCTAACTAATTCACCGTGAAGTATCGCTCCGCTCAATACACCCACATCTTCCCCCTCGAAGATCGGTATCTTCAACTTCTTAACTCTAATATCTCCACCCCAACTTAGTCTTCCTCCAGTATTTCCCCCCATGTATCTAAGGTGGAACTCCCTCCTCCGATCTTAAGCATACCCAACTCTCGATTTCCTCCTCCCTCATGTTCTTCCATACCCTTTACACCATCCCTCGAATTTTCGGCCCATCCCCCTCCCTCGGAATTCTCTACTCCCCCTCCTCTCACAGTCCTAGAGGGGTGCTCTTCTTGGTAGATGATGTCGTCCTCATTGTCTTCTCGTTCAATCTACTTCCCTTTTGACCTGGCTAAGGATTCCATGATCAACCCTTGATTAGGGTTTGCAACTGAAGCGATCGGCATGTCATTGGACTGCATTTCTATGAGCTTTTCATCATCTCTCGTATTTCTCCTATGCTCTCAAATTCATCCTCCATTTGCCTTTCTATGGACGAAAACTATCCTCCTTTATGGCGAACATTTCTTCCATCCAAGTTCTGATTTGACTCGTCTCTTCCTCTGACTTCTTCTCCCACGCCTCTATTTTCTTGGTCGTCGTTTCTACTAGAAATATTTTATATCATGCAAGAGAAACTACTGAATGATGAAATCTAATCAACAGCTTCCACGTAGCTCTCATGGTAAACGTCGATGCTTCCAAGTTACATGGGGCACTACAGATCGCGATTGTATCGCATGTGAGGAAAGGAAAATTGCAATTTTTGGGTCTCAATAAGCTGCCTCCCCATTTCTGCCTTCCCAAATAGTTTTGGTCATGATATAACATGTACACGACACGTAAGGAAGAGAAGAATGGGAGTTTCGGATCTTTGTAGCCATTCCATACTTATACATTCCCTAGCTAGCTCTGATCGAGACTGGATCGCGTAGAAGGCACGAGAGGAGGAGAGGAATGGGAGTGTTTGGTCTTTGTTCACTGCTTCCCAATCGTTGCCTTCCCAGACCATGTCTGATCGCAATCCTATCAAGTAGAAGGCGCTAAAACAGGAGAGATCGTGAGTTGAGGATTTTTATACACCGCGATTTCGTTGATGTCGTTGATCTTCACAGAAGAAGACATGATTCCTTCGTCGCCTTCCCCACAAGCTAACTGGTCGCTATGAGCTGTGATCCTGCAGTCATAGTCGCAACTGCTTTGCACTAGTATGGAGCGGAAGGAGGTGAGTTCCTATCCTAGTTATGTCGCGATTCTTCCCCACGTCACGATCTATTGTCTTATGTAAAGCCGCAATCCCTTCATTGCCTTCTTCAGCGAGCCGCGAGCCCGTTGTTGCCTTCCCTACAAGCTTAAATTGCAACTGTATGACAATTCTGAGCACTTATTCCCAGAACTGTTGATCTGATACCAATACGATCTGACATCGAAATCGACTTGAATTTTTACAGAAGTTAGGGTAAACAAGAATATTTTCTTCAATAATCCAATCAACTCACATATATACATAAGATAAACACCAACAATTCGAGAGGTAGGCGATCTCTCTTAATTCCTACAATTCGAAATGTAGCAAATCTCTCCCAAGACCTAAACCTAAGACTCACAACTCAATCTCTTGTAAAAATTTAACCCTAAACATAACAAGACTATTTATACCAAACAATCATAAAAATAAATGACTAAATTTACCTTAGGCATACAAAAGACAAATTTTCCCTTAGGCTTAGCACCCACGTAACAAATTTTTCTGATGAAGAGATTATTCAACATAAAGATGATGAAATGGAGTTCAATGACTGAACATTTGGCTAATTTCAACACTGTGACAAACCGATTGTATTTTGTTGGCATCAAATTTGATGATGATGTCAGGGCACTGTCAATTCTATCTTTAATGTCAGATAGCAGTGGTGGACTAGCCAGAACTATAAGCAACTCTTCAGGTAATATGAAGTTAAACTTTGATTACATCGTGAGGCTAATGCTGAATGAAGAGATTCACAAGAATGCAACGAGCCTTAAATGTTTAAGTTCTGCGTTAAAAGTTGAGAACGGAAAAAGAAATCTGGACAAAAATACAGGCATAGATAAATTTAAGTTCAGAAGAGGAAAGTCCAGGTTAGGAAAATAAAATGACAAAGGTGAATGTTGAAACTATGGAAAGAAATCTCATTTAAATAAGGCCTACAAAACTAGTGATAGAGGCCAAGACAGAAATCTCTCTATAAATGTCTCCACAAGTGAAATCCAAGGTGATTCCCTGGTTTTATCCCAAGTTAATATTGAATCTTGAATAGTAGATTCAGCTGCCACTTTTTATGCATGTCCCAACAAATAGGTCTTTAAGAACTATACTCATAATGATTTAGGAAAGATATATTTGTGAGATAGCAAAACCTGCAATATTATACGAAAGAGTAATATTGATACTAAGTTTTTAAATAGAGCAGTCAGGAAGCTCATTGAAGTTAGACATGTTCCAAGTCAGGGTATGTGACTTCTTTCACAGGTGACTCATGGAGTTGACCTATAAGGCAGTTGTGATGCATCGGGGCAACATTGAAGCACCGTTTACCTGATCAATGAAATGACAGAATGACGCGAAGCTGGGATGCGTACGGGATGTGAGAGGCGAGCAGGATGCAAGCGGGTCACAAACTGGCCTAGAGAGGATCCAGTCCAGCCTTCTGCTGGATTGGTCAACCTTCTACATGCAGGATTTGCAGCTTGCGCCTCCTTTCGCTATTTTCCTTTCTACTCCTCCCTTATTTCCCTGTTATGGCTTCTTCCTCTTTTCCTTTATGGTGGCCGCCCAAAGGGGAAAATCTTTCATTCTTACTTTATCTATCAGCTATTATATATGTGTTGTTTTGCTTGTCAGGGTTAGTTTTCTTGTTGTGTTGTTTTCATATTCCATTGCAGAACTTTCTTTCTGTTCTAGGGTTGTATCCGAGGAGGTGGTGGTACTATGGTTGTATCCTACTCCGAGGTGGCGATGTATATTTCTCTATCCTCTTCACTACCCATATTCCTTCCCTTTCAATAGTCGTCGACCATTCCCCTTCCCTTAGCCCATTTTCTGCCACTGCCTTGTTGTTCAACCTTTCCAATCCGCCTATCAACACCCTATTCCCCTCCAACCTGCTGCTAGCCTTCCTGTCCAACCACCCCTTGTAGCCTGTCGGGCCCCCTACAATGGTTCTCCTTGCTGTCCGGCTCACCTCGCCATCACCCAACACCCTTCATCACCCTTCCCTACAACTTTCCCTATCAACCCACTATCCAAAACTCCAAACCAGCCACCAACCACCCTTCAAACATATCTGACAGTCTCCCACCATTCCCCTTTTCCCTTACCACTTCGTTGATGCCTCCACCGCTCTCAATCCTTTCTT